TCTTTTTTATATAGATGCATTATCATAATACCTTTCATTTGGTATATTTTTTTCATAAATTTAACCCTTAACCTGCCCACAAGGGGGGATTTAAAATGACAACTTTTTCACAAAAAATTAATTTTTTTAACTTAAATTTTGAAAATGTTCCGGAAGGTCTGACACTTTTATATATATCTTAAATTAAAGCTAATGTAATATGCTTTATCATGAAAAAAAAAAATTTCGGACTTTATCTTATCTTCATGGTGAAAATGGCTACCGAATGCTATTTTTGTGTGAAAATTTTCGATTTTGTATTTTCCATTTTTAACTTTATTATGCTATAACTTTTTGAAAAATGTATGGATATGTACAATTTTTTTATGAGGAGTAGTATTCATATACATCTTTCATTCGACATACTGTTTTTTTAAATCGGACCATTTCCCTAAATACAGGGGGGATTCAAAACATAAAAATGCATATAGAAAGTAGAACTTTTTCAACGTAACTTTTGAAAGTGTTCCGGAAGGTCTGACACTTTTATATATATCTTAAATTAAAGCTAATGTAATATACTTTATAATGGTAAAAAAAAATTTCGGACTTTATTTTATCTTCATGGTGAAAACAGACATTAAACTTAATAAAAAAAATACGATTTTTGTAAAAAAATTCTTTTTTATATTTTTAACTTTATAATGCTATAACTTCTCGAAAGATGTATGGATCAATATAATTCTTTTTTTTGTAGATGCATGATGTCTTTACCTATCATTTGGTATATTTTTTTTATAAATCTGACTTTTTACCTGCCTACAGGGGGGGATTCAAAATGACAACTTTTTCACAAAAAATTGACTTTTTCAACTTAAATTTTGAAAGTGTTCCGGAAAGTCTGACACTTTTATATATATCTTAAATTAAAGCTAATGTAATATACTTTATCATGGAAAAAAAAAATTTCGGACTTTATTTTATCTTCAAGGTGAAAATGGCTACCAAATGCTATTATTGTGTGAAAATTCTCAATTTTATTTTTTACATTTTTAACATTATAATGCTATAACTTATTGAAAAGTGTATTGATCAATATAATTTTTTTATGGGAAATACTATTTTCTAATAATCTCTTTTTTATTCGACATACTTTGTCTTAATCAGGATATTAATAAGGAACTAGCAGTTTATGAAGCTTTTGGAATAATCCACCAATTTTTTAAAATTAAACACTATCTAAAGATTTGCATCGAAGCGTTTTTTTTTGATAGTGATTTTAATCACTGTCAGATATCATTATACTTGATCCAACTATGCCACGTCACCACTGTGCCGCGACCCCCCTGTGCTGGGTTTTTTTTTTCATCACCTTAATCTCAACTACGTTGAGTCGGCCACCCTTAAATCGATAAACATATTGCAACATTCAAAATTAAAATTTAATAAAAAATAATTTTGAATATAATGACTAATTTATGTAAATTTTTAATTTCATAAATTTATGCTATGCTTTTATTTAAAAAATAATTTGTATGCAACTATAAATTGTATAGGTTACTATAAGTTACGTTTACTCTTACACATTGTATATCATATCTATTTTTTTGTAAAAATTGTAGTTTTTTTTTCTTGTTATAATAAGTATTTTTATTTTGTTGCTTGATTCTATATTTACAAATAAAAACATCAGCTTGGGATTAGTGGTTAAATATTTATCCATTCTGATGTTTAAAATTTGCATAATTAATTCAATCAAAATATTAAAATAGTTTCTATTTTAAAATAAAGTTATGGAATGTAATTAGGCATACATTACTAAATTTATTCTGTCAGTGTATAATTACTTCTCCAAATTGTTTTGAAATCTCACAAAATTTTTAGCATTTTCATAATGTATACATTTATAAATTATGTAGAATATAAAATATGTCATATAATGTATGTTAAAATTCGATAATACAAAAAAATACTGTTATCATTAGCTGGTTTTCATGAAGTTTATTTATCCTAATATGTATGAAATAACACTAAATATTTTAATCCGTAAGAAATTTTTCTCATCATTAAAAATACTTCTATATAAATCAAGAAACTATTTTTAAATAGCTATCTAGGCAAAATTGAAACAACAAATATATATATTATAATACACATTTTTGAAATTGTTTTACTATTTCATTAAAGCAGAAAATGAGAGGAGTATTTACAATATTTTTGTCTGCTCTATTTAAAAAAATACATGACAAGTATACTTAATAATTAGTACATTGTATATATAATAATATAATTATATAAATCTATGTACTCTATGGAAAATATTTACTTTTGCGAGAATACGTTCAACCTCCTCTAATTTTTCTTAGTTACACAAAAAAAAAAAAAAATTAAGTTTGACTCATAACCACCACTTATTTTTTTTTCGTGTACAACTTTATAAATTATTTTTTATAATAAAAATTCGACAAAAAAACTTATTCAATGAGTAGAAAATAATAATAAAGTTCAAGTAAACATTATATATTTCAGCTTTATAAAATGTTCATCGCACAAAAAATTTATAAAGACAACACCTTGACCCAATTGACAATGAAGTACAGCCAAATTTAGCAAGCTCATAAATATGCAGTAAGACTCGTTTGGAAGCTAACGCAATTTACTGTTATTAACTTTTCTTTGACCATCGTTTTACTTAAAGTCCCTTCGAGCCTTTTTCGTATGTGCTTGTCGTCAACATTACGTTAATTATGCGGTGTTCTGTTAAAAAAACGTAGTTGGTCAAACTTTTTAAAATACCAAGTGCTCTCCAACTATATTTTAAACTTTTGTTATTTTTGCTTACTGAAGTGTTCTCTTCAATCGCATTGGCACGATGTTGCTTTACTTTTACACAGTTTTGAATATCAAATAACCCTTTTAAATACCACAAAACTTTGTTCATTGTATATCGAAGAATATAGAAATAAATGTTTGTATATTTTCAATAATATTGACCAGAAGTAAGTGGTTTAGTTGTTAAATGTTGTGAAATCAACCACACTAGAGTACATATTTTGAATATATATTGAATGAATATAAAAATTCCAGTTAGCTGTATAATTGCTAATTTAATGAGAATTGAACACGTCAGTCGACTTATAATGATCGACAAAGACTTCGTCGTTTTTAACGTCGATAAGATATTAAAAAAATCACAGTATATATTAATGATATAAATTTCTATAGAATCACTCCTACTGATTTTATGTACAATTTTGAATTATTTATGGAATATTTGAAGTTATTTCAACACATTTCATATTTACCGATTTATTCAATAATCACAAAATAATGTTAAGAATGTAAAGCCGAAAGTTTTAAAACCTAATAAAACTTTTTTACTTATATTTAATCTTTTTAACTTACTTTTTAGACTCATTTTTAATATTTTTAACGTGTAGTTTTATAAATATAAAACATGTATAAAAAAGCTGAAGATGATTGAAAAATGTGAAATATTAATAAAGTATAGAGCTAAAGTTTATTTACCTATAATTACTTTTATAAATTAATATATTAGGATTATTTATATGCAACATAATAAAGCTATTAAATTTATTAAATTGTATTTTCCCAATTTAAATTTGAATAAATTACGCTATTAGTATACTTATTTATAATATAATTATTATTGTCTATAATATAAAAAATCACCATACAAATAATATTAGCAGCACTGATACATTTTTTGACGTTTAATTTTGTTTGAGTACTTTAAAAAATAATAATTTTTAAGTTTTTAACGCCAAATAATACATACAAACTGATAATTTTTTATCAAGATATTAAAATTTAAATAACTTCTAAAATAATGGTTTAAAAGTTGTTATCAACCAGTCACTCATATTCTTAGTTAGATTTTTTTCTTACTTGTTAGCTAATTGTATATTATGCTAATTGAATTTAAAAAACTTTTTATTTTTAAATTTTAGAGGGGTAGACCCCCTCTATTATTTATTAACCCCCCTTATTGTGTTAATTTAAGTGCATAGAATACTAATAAATTCTGAAAATAAAAAAACAATATTTTATCTTGTACTTTTTAGTTAAATTAATTTCGATTTCGAAATATTTTTATCATTATTTCTAATTCTAACAAACATAATGTAAACAATTTTAAATATTTAAAAATATACTCAAAAGAACATCACTAGTAAAGATACAATCTTTTTATGTTTATGGACAGAAAAATATGACTGCAGTCACAACAGATTGTTTGGAATTTTTGTGGTTGCGTATTCAAAACAAAAAAAATTTTAAAAAAGAAAAAGAAAAGATGACTACTTACTTTTAATAGAACTGATTCACTAAGTTTTTCTCGATTAATTATCTTAATGGCAACATTTTTGCCATTCACGCAATGGATTCCTAGTTTGACAAGTCCTGAAAAAGGAAAATGATACAGTTAGTAAGTGTAATATTTAACTTTGCACATTTGAACAGTTATATTAACCAGGTTCGTTAATATATTTTATACCGCTATTAAATTCTATATTCTATATAATTGTATCTATACAAAAAAATACCTTTGCTAAGTTATCTAAATTCACACCACTTATAATATATATTTTCTTTAAATGAGAAAGTTTTATTTCTAAAAATGTTGACATACTATTTATGTCTTTTATCTTAATAATATAACATTTGTTCCATATGTTGGCATTTACATTAAAAAATATAATTGTTATAAAGGAGTTATATTTTATTGACAAATTTTAAGAGTTTTAAAAATAAAGTGTTTTTGATCAAAATATAATAGAAATGTTTTAATCGTACACCTGACTTCTTTTTGTAGTATTAAATAGTGTATTATTATCCAATTAGAAGTTTAATCCTTTTTATTTTTGAATAATTTACCAATTTTTGAAGTACATTTTTAAATGTATTTTAATTATTTGACCAAAATTTGTTTAAAATACATTTTTAAATAATTTTTTTACATATTTAGACATTTTAATAACTAAAAATAATTTATGTACAAAATATTCTTTTTAGTAGTTTATACGACAAAACATGTTAGCGAAAGTTTAAAACTATGCTTAATTATGATACCTGAATACATAAAAAAAATTTTAAATATAAATTTACAAAAACACGTTTTCTTGTATAGAAATAAAAATAAATGGTAATGTCTTGCAGCTTGGTTTCACGTTCTTTTGTATTTTTATCAGTAGTAGTAGACTTCGATCATTTATTTTAAAGACTTCCAATGCGATATTAGTATTTTGTTGTAATGAAGATCAAATTCGGTATTGATCGTTATCGTTATTAGTGCAGCCAAACGAAAAGATACATTTACCGTACTCTTACACAGTGTTTGTTCATAAATTTATGCTTGACCGGCATATATTCATTATTATACCTCATAAAATATTAATATTACTTCCTCTGAAGCATCAGGCTCTACGAGGGAAATGGTAAGTTATTAACGAGCAAAAAATGTACAACTAGATGCTCTAAAACGATATTTAATTAATGTCAGAGGGTTATTATAAGTCAGTATTTTAGCTTTCTACAAAGATAAAGTCGCATACGAGCACGCTGTTCTCCTTTAGTCGGAATGTTATTCGCGTGCACTCTTCTGTACTTATCAAACACGCACACATACAAATTTTACCCTTTATTTACACTAATCACAGAGAGCCGGGTGTAGTCCTATAGTCGTCCTAAAGAGCTTTTGAAGGCATAGAGTTCGATCCCTATGGATCTCCCTCTTGAATATTTACCCGGTACAAAATATCGCTAACAACACACAGAATTAAAATCATCGTTACTCATAATGCTGCAAAGCCAAAAAATATTTATTTTTAATAACACAATTGTAATGCAACAGTGGTATATGACAGACCATCGCCTGTAAAATATACAGGTGATTCTTTTATCAGCAAACCACTGACTTTTAAAAAATAAAATTCATGTTCATTCCTTATATCTCGTATAAAGGTAGAAACCAGATTTTTTAAATAGAACATACTACTTAATCAACTAACTAATTTGTTTAATTATGATATTACTGATTGATGAACCAGTATTTTGGATATTATTAATGATTTAAAGTATTGACTGGAGGTACAGCGCAGGTGTTATTATCACCAGCAAATTTTTCGGCTACACTCATCCTCTTGCCTAGTTTTAAAATGTTAATAATATCTGAAATATTTTTAATATGATTATAAAAATATCTTGTGTATACTTTTAATAAAGTATGAATTATACTCAAAATATATATGATATTATATTACATTCATAAATTTAATTAACAACTCATATATAAATATTCATCGTTAAAATGAATGCTAATTGAAAATAACCTGAATTATTTGTTCAAAAGTTGTTATCCACATATCTTTTATTTTATTAGTGAAGTAAAAGCTTTTAATTGGTATGTTTTCACTTCACAAAAACAAAGGCTACCCTTATAAGTCATAATGTATGTATATAAAAATATTCAACGATTGGTACATTGAGGAAAATATGTTTCTAACAAAAAAAATAATCAATTTGATTTTTATTTTTTGACTAATTTAAGCGGTTCACAATAATAGAATCACCTGTAATTACGTTCATAATCATACTTAGTATTATTTCTCTTAATTTTTAATTTGCTTAATTAAAAAAAATATAATTTAAAAGTTTATTCAAGTAGTATTAATAATGAGGTAAATTTATAAGAGTTAATTTATTTTATTTTATTTAGGGATAGTAAACATTAACATGAAAGCGAATTTTTTTTCATTGACTGTATATTATTTATAGGTATTGTATATTGTCTATTTTATTTGATTTATATAATAAATATATTTATATTTATATAAGATATTCAGTGAGAATTAAAGAAACGGGTTTCTGTTGTTCTTATTGTTTGTAACAATTGACATGTTTCCTTACTAACTGAATACTCTGTATTCTATTTAAAATCTATTAGATAATTTTAGTTGGAAGTGAATATAAAGTTCTTTTAAATTAAACTTAGTATTTATTATAACTTGACTTTTTTTCTTCAAAAATGTGTTATTCATTATAGATATCTTCGTGCAATATACCTAAAATCTTATAAAGTATATTGTAAAAATTGCTGACTTATAGTTAAAAAAATGTTCCTGTATGATGCTATTTAATTGCTTAAAATAATCAAATAACCTCATCATGTATAATATAATAATTATATTATAATTAGATTTTTATTTTAAAAGATGGTACAAAATTATTTTATTAATTGACTCAGCAATATAATTTTTTAAATTTTAATATTTTATGTACTTCATCATTAAAGAAAAAAACTTCGCTAAAAATAAACTGCATCTAAGAGTGGTCTAAATTAAAATTTAAAACCACCAAAACCAAAACCACCAAGTTAGACAAATACTATGTTTTCTTTAAAATAATTTAAGTTTTTTTTATGTATATATTTCTTTTTTTATATATCATAATATCTTAAATTGACATGCCGACTGCTACCAATTCATTTACTTAAAATTTTTATGTCTCGTGTTTCTCAATTTGCTCTATATAAAATAACGAAGTTTACTTAAAATTGATAAATGAATTAAGTCGACTTAAAATTCATTTTTTATACTAATTCCTTCTTATATTTTTTATGTTCATTAAATATTTAAATTTAGTATGAAATAAATAGATTACTGTCAAAATATTTTAACTTTTCGAGTAAATAATAATTAATTATTTTCTAAAGAACTTCATTTTTGTTTTTTATGATAATTAAATATATTTCTATTTTTAAAATTTTTAACAACTAAAATCACTCAGATTTTATTTTACTTTATAAACATTTTTTTTTATATATATATCAAACACTGCCTATTACTGCGAAAAAAATTAAGAGCCCCAGGAAATATATTTCTCTTTCTATAAAAACGATTTATACCTTGTTTTTTTAAAAAGTTTTTTTGATAAAGATTCAGTCGGCTGATCCAAAAAATAAATATACAGAAGAATGTATGAACGTTGTTTTTTCACTTTTTAGTGTATTTTTCAATAATATTTATTGAACTAATATTTATCTTAGGTTATTATTGATAATTTGTTTAAAATAAATAATTAAAATTAGTCTTTTGTGTGTTCCGTTGATTAAAGGATCTTGCATTTAAATAAATTATTCACATGTTTTATATTATGATTTTAATTCGGCATGTTTTACAAGGTTATAAACTACACGCCTCATATTAAAATTATGTTAAGTTTAATTCAATATGTGTATGAGGTAGATATTTCTATTAAATATTAATTTAGGTGTAGATAATAGGATTAAAGCTACTCATGTTATTATTCACATACTATGTAATTCACTACATTATAGTGTTTATTTATAAAATAATTTTTAATAAACCAAGTAAACCTGTTTAAATAACATGTTCATTATTTGTTAGGAGTGTTTATTATAAACACTTCTTAATGATTAATTAATTTATGTATAAACATGTCAATTTTTCATTAAACAATTGCTTAAATGACAAAATTTTCTACAAAATTAAACAGGACAAGAAAACGTCATAAATAACATTATAATTAAAACGTTTAAAACGAATTATGTGTTGAAAACGTAATCAAAAACAAAAAATATAATAATCTAACCCTGTCATGTCATCGTTAGGCTATGTATTTTAGCCAATTTGCTATTAATTTGAATAGGTAAATTCACTGCTAGTTTGCATAAACATTGTCACTGCTTTAAGGGATTTGGCTGGTTTACTGTGCTGCAATGAACAAGCAACGTTAGTGAATGTTGTCGCCATGCGAAAAAGGGGAAGAATCGTACATGTTATATCGATCAGCCTCCGAATAATGGACCAGCCGCGAAGTTACCGTGCTCGAAAACTGCCGTTGTAAATACTGACGGAGGCGTACAAAGTAACAGTTGGTCAGATCATAAAAAATTGTCTCTTCTAGGTTTCTACCTATACGTATTATAGACGATCTGGATATCCAAGATACCTATTCTACTTACACAATACAAATCGTTATATCTTACTGCGGTGACAAATATTATTATTCAGATAAACAAAATGACCCACATGAAGATTTGAATTGAGATGCAAATTACAGTATCCTAATAATTTAATGTAATTTTGAAATTAGGTCAACTTTTATTAAACAAAAAGTGAATCCCAAAAGATGTACATACGGACCAATACAACTATACTTTTGTTAATCATAAAATTCTCACTCAGTGTTTTTGTAATTATTGTGATTGCAAAGTTTCTTTAAGTTTTAAACCATTTTAAATAAATTTTACGTGGTTACTAATCCAAATTCATGAAAATTCATTGAAATAACATTTAATGAATAAAATAATAGTGTTGATTACATCGAATGGATTAACTAAATGTTTTACACGAAATTGATTAGGTATCAAACAAGTTGATTAAACAGAATTAAGAGAAATCTAACACGATTCCTATTACTACTAATTTTGTTTCAAGAAAAGTACCAGTCGTTGAAATAAAAATAAACTTTTTGAACGAATTAAGATCGAAAGGTCTTTAAAAACGGTATCAAATAAGCTTAACTTAATTTTAAGAGTAGGATCTAATATGCACCTGTTGACAAAAATAAACAAATAAGTCCAAAAAGTTGACCTTATATATATATATATATATATATGTATATAGTTATGTATATAGTTATTTTTAATAGATTAAAAGTGCTTCAACGTTTTTGTTTTGTCATATAATTATGAAAACCCGTTATTTTTAATAAGGCTCAATTGTTCTTCCAAAAAGCATTATTTTTAATCTTAATATAATATATTTTTTTAATGAAAGATACTTTTGCGAATAAAAACTTTTAGGTGATATAAAAGATTGAAAAATACTTATAAAATTAATGAAATTAGGTTATTATAGTATTTTTATACAACTACGTTAAAAAATTTTCTTTAGATACATATATACAAGTTAACAGTTTTGAACAAGAAACATTTTAATAAGAGTAATATCAATATTCTCTGAAAACAGATTGAAATCAAAAATATTATTTTTTATAAGCTCACTAATGTCAAAACAACACCCGTCAACGCTGATAAAAGTTTGAAAAAAATCAAAAAGATGTAAACAAAATTATACTCGTCATTCATAAATAACATGATTGCTATGATCCTGAAAACGGTAGAAATGAGATAAGACCACTATAAAGATGTTTCCACATTATTTGGTAAGATATAATATTGTATTATAAAATCTCTCAACAATTGCATACCACTTCAGCTTAAAATCAGGTTTCTATAAAAAGGTATTATATCGATCAGTCGAGTATAAAAGAATATGTTGTGTATTGTTTTTTATCAAAATCTGTATTTACGATAATAATCATAAAACTGCGGCGGTAAAATTTCATACAAAGTAATAAAAATTGTCTATTATTGTATTCAATCCTATCAAATCAAGTCAATTATAATACTATGTATTAATTTATATTTATTTTCTGTAATATAAAAAAAATAATGTATTTTATACGTTTAAATTTTGAACAAAATCTCACGTATGCACGTGTGAAGTCTTCAATTTTTTATTAAATAATGACTAAAAAATATTTTAGTGAATTAAAAACCGAAAGAATAATTTCACAAAACAAAAATTACAAATTAATAAATAATGCTAATTCTAATATACAATTCAGTTTTTGGCATGTAAAATGTGTATTAAATATTACTATAAACATTTATGTATATATATTTTGTTGATTAATAAGTCAACTATTGAAATATACAAACTTTGTTTTGCTGAATAATTGTATGGATAATGAATTATTAACTAATATGTGTACCGTGTAACTAGTCAACTAATGATAGTGATAAAATTTGGGGCAATTTAACACCTATTATCATTTTAGTCGTTTCGATTTATAGCAGTGTAAAATATTTACAAATATTCTTAAGAAACACAAAATATTTGTTCACAAAAGTCAAGTGATTAAATCTGTAAAATATTTATTTTTTCATAGCTATCAATACAAAGTATTATTATAACTTAACAATTAGTGATAAGAATTTGTAAAATATTTAACAGACCAAATTTTAACCAGCACACCAAGTTGGCTCATTTAACAGTATGCAAGTTCTTCCGTTTTATATGTCTTTGATGTATAAAATCGTTATATTCCGTAAATCATATTTGAGCATTCGTTAAAACTTACATAGTATGCGTTGCAGATATACATCAGATTATATTGGATTAATTTGCTGATTTATGTTTCGTTTCTAAAAATTCTAAGAAACGAAACATAAATTATTGTAAAATTAATTTTTATTTCAATAAAACTAAATTATTATTAAGTTTTCATGACTATTAGAAAATATATCAACGAAAACAAAATGTTTTTGTAGCAATAAAATGTTATATTAATATAATATAAAAATTTTCTATCCCCTTTAAAATGCATTAAAAATTGCCATCATAAACAAAGGGTAACAATCACCTCCCCTCAAATACGACTCGGTTTTACTTCACATGAAATTTTTCTTAATGGTCATTAATAACATATTTTTAAAACAAAAGTATGATTAAAATATAAATATTCCAAAAAATATTGGTTTTTATGCTTAAAATTCAATATCTAATAAATATCTTGATTTGAGAACGGTTTCTCGATTTAAACTTTATAGAGTAAAACTATATAACTTGACTAGTTCTATGTGTATACATAGAATTATCCATAAACATAATTATATTGACCTGAAAGCCAAAGGGTTGTTCTAAATTGAACTCTTACGTAGAAGTCGTATAACCGTCGCGTGATACATCTATTTACCTACATATTTTGTTGTATTATGTTTGTTTAATTTGTCAGTAAAATAAAAATAGAACCGTATTATACTTATTTAAAAAGATAATATTTAGTAAAAATAAACCTACCTACAAGTAAGAAATACCGTTGTACTTCTTTTAAAGTGTTTTGTAATTCAAATGGGGGTTCAATGTAAAAATATCTACGACATTGCTAAGATTCACACTAATATAGACGGGCAAAATATCACTTGGGGGTTAAAAGAAATACTTTATATGATAAAATTCATTACCGGTAAGTAGATAATACAAGAGTAACACTTCCGCTCGTTCAATGAATAAGAAATCTTATACAAGAGAAGTTCACCCTTGATCTCTCATTGACTATGCTATAAGAAGTAGTCTTTTTGAGTATGTATCTCGAATCAAATCAAATAAAAAGGTATAATAGAATGTAAATTATTCTTAAGTTTAATCTAAACTATAAATCTAAGTTACTGGATAACAACATATTTAAAAAAAACAATAATCACAATCATTTAAGTGTAGATGAATAAATATGTCATAATAAAGATATATTTAATCCATAGTAAATAACTAGATTTCAATAAAATAAAGGTATTCAATTAACTTATATAATTCCCTATTATAATACTTCGAATTGATTACTACTGACAGTAATCGTTTTTGATTGATGATATGCACTTTGATGTTATGATATTTGCATACAATTCGGTTTGTAGTCTTTCCGACAAACGCTATAATATCACGTGTGTGTTTTCTTTTAACGTAATTACCATAATTTTTCTATGTAAGTATGTAAGCTTACCAGTTTGCCCCTTGCCCAAAGTTTTTTCTAGTCGATAGGGTCCAACGTATTGTTGAATTTCGACACTGGATGGAAAAGTGAATTGATCTTGTTGCATTTTGTTTTTTTTTGTAAATTTAGAGAATTTATGAATGAAGCGATTTGTTTAGCCGTAATTTATTTGATTTTTTTTTGGCTACATTTTATTAGGAGACCTTTGAATTAAGATACCGTCTTCGCCACGATAACAATGACGAGCATTACGACGACGATGATTATTCTGTAGACGGTCGTGCAAACACTTTTTACCGTGATATCGGTGAAAACGGTGAAAAAAATAACTTTGAAAACGGTGTGTCTCTGGCGGCATGTCCCCGTCGGGCAAACACGTTCACATTGGAATTTCGCGTCAATATTGCGATCAATTTGTAACGACGGGTAAACTAGAAACAGTAATTTAAATAAAAAAAAAAAAAACGTTCTAATAAAAAAAAGTTTTACACTCTAAGAATATATTTACAAACGACAGTGATAATATTTTCTATTTGTTGATAAAATATTATCAACCGCCCTGTGAGCGCCGCGGTATCACGTACATCGTGCACGAACTGAACGTTTCGCTTAACTGCTTTCGGTATTGCGTTTCGTAGGGAGGGACCACGGCTGTTTCAGAGCACCCTTGGAAGTGGCGTAGTGGCGCTGGCTGCATCTGCAACGCGTTCGCGCTATCGATAGCCGACACGCGGTAGAATTATTGACGGACTGCGCCGCTATCTGTAAAAGAACACATGGGGTGGTCAACGACCCTGTGCGGCCAACTGGGTAGTTGTGCTGTCAGATACGCGCATTTGTTATAATTGTTTTACAATATTTAAAATCGACCAATCGTCACTGCGGTATCCTGTAAATTAACTATTCAATCATCCGTACGGTTGTATACTGTGCAGTTTGTTACAGTGCCTAACATGTTTCTTTGGCTGCGGAACGGCTCGAGCTTTCACTGTTCATTTACAAACACCATTGTGTTCGTGTAAATTGATTGATTATTCCGTTTTAATTTGATTGTCATTTTTTTATTGTATAACGCTAAAGATTTTGTCTCGCGCGTGCAATAAACAACGACCACGTACATATTTAAAAAAAAAAATTGTAATCTAATCGTTGAGTTAGTATTTTATGAAGCGCAGGGGTTGTGTTTGCTAGTACCATTATCGTTCCGTCGGGCTTATCGTTACATTACGATATAAACTAATGGGCGCGGTGCGGTGTCTGGTGAGTACGACTGTCTGAGGGGGTGGCGGTGGCGTCCTGTAGTCGGTACCACACAATCGTTGGCTGTTACCGCGGTAGAGACAAATATATCGATTTTACCGTGTTTGCGATATTGTTTGGTCGATAGCGCAGTGCCACCCTGCCGGTCCTTTATTTTTGTGCTTAACTTCATTGTACTTTTGTATATACATATTTACGTTGTAAGTTTATTCTCGTGAAAATGCGGTATCGCGCATGTGCCACTACTGTTACCCTTTCATCGTCACTTGGAGGACAGAGAAGAGTCGAAAAGTTTGTCTTTTTTAGAATTTACCCGTGAAAAATTATTACCTGCTGACGACGCCCTGGGACCTTTGCTAAAGCAATTGCATAGGCCACTTCCTTTTCGGTGCATTTTCCTTTCTGACTAGTCCACTGTCGGTAGCAGATTCTATTCTCCAAATTTGTTTTTTCAATCTATAATGAACGTGACAATTTACAATAAGCATAAGATGATTTGCGAAACAAGTTATTCATTTTTACTTTACGCAGACTTCAATAGTCTCTAGAATTATTATTAGTTTCTTGTAGTTGTTTTGTATTTTTATTTGTTTTATAAAATAATTTGCGTACACCATACATCGAATAATATTTTACGAGAATTGGTCATCAGATTATTATAACCATTTTTGTCATCTTTTCATGGGGTAAAATTATGAAAATTATTGTGAAACTTCCTAACCAAACCTAATGTAAAAGAAATTGGTCCTTATGAATTAATAAATATTAAGAAATACTCTTGGAGTATTTGAGAGAGAAATTTGAAAACTTCTCAGTACATCAATTAGTCATTTCATCAAAACACAATAAATATGAATTCCTAAACTCAACTAATCGTTAAAATTAACGTGCGCACACGTGTGATAGTACTAGTGAATAACAAAGTGTACTGTAAGAGGCTTTTACTAGTAAGGATGTATTGCTATGTGGGATTTATTTAGAGAAGTACTGAATTCGTCATTTTTCCCATTCGACCCCGTCTTACCCTATATATTTATATTTAAATATGGCTTATAAAAATATTTATAGTTCGCCCATTTTAACCCCATGGTAAGGATCGCTGTTTAAAAAGAGAGAAATAGTTTTAATTTGAGATCAAAATTCAACAGTACAACATGGCTGCTAACACAGCAAAATATTATTTTTTTCATATTATGCATAATTGAGTTTTAAATCTCCAACTCGATAATATTCCTTTATAACAACCAATAACACGTCAATAACAAGCTACTCATAACCACTTGAAAATCAGTAAAATCATTTCACAAATTTGATTACACATCAAATTCTTTTATTCTCTTGTCCTGTCAAAAAAGTTATACCGCGAAGAACCCTTTTTGTACATTACTCCATAATAAATATTGAAAACTCTATTACGTATTACGTAGAATTTGCATACCGATAAAATTTAATTTATTTTGATTAAAAATAAAAATAATAATCAACACTGACAAGGCTTGAATTCGGAAATTTCAGTCCATCGATATTTCACGGTTTTACTATTCAATAAATAGACGATCTAAACGAACATTGAAGTTACCTTGTTATTTAGCGTACATTTTAATTTTAATAATTTAAAAAAAAAAACTTTAGTGTCTAAATTTAACCAATACCAATTTAGAGCGGTCCATCAAGATTTATATTATTAGCGTTAGAAAATTTTTTTCTGAAGAAAAATTGTGTAAGTGAAACTCAAATCACTCCGAGGTATTTTAACACGTATGTATCATTACATAAAATATTAAAGTCAAATAATTATTAGAATAGTCTAATTATAATTGTAATCTGTTAATAATGTTCGTTTAGAACTATATGATTTTTAAATTACACAACATAAAACTACATAAAGAGTCAGATGGTTTTTTACAATATTTGGCTTTTGAATACAAGAAGGTTACGTTTTGAAATCATATTATTTTGAAAAAATTCATTGTTGCTTTAAGGTATAAGTATTATTCGTCTATATTATAATATATCCGTACTTCTTGTGATCGGCAAAAAACATTTTCTTTTGATCTAAAGATACGTCAAGTTTGTAATCATACACTAATGTATGTACACGACGATTGAAGGAAAAATCGATCAAAAAATATTCTTTAGTATCTTTTAAATAATTAAGTTATGCCCAAAGATTGTAAAGTCATAAACAAGCTCCAGTGACGATAGTTTTTTTGATGATTGTTAGGTTTGGTAGAAGAACTAAAGAAATTATGATTTCACACTAAAGGAAATTCAATTTAAAAAAGAATCGTGGAAAAGGTTAGGTATCTAACTTCCTCTCTCTAAAATTAATTTTTATATGATTACATGCATTTCTATAATATTAAAAGTTCTAATTATAAAATTGAAGTGTTATGTCCCTCCTAACCACACACGATTTGCGCCTATATGTTTAAAGCAATAAAATAATTATTTAATATATAGATAGTTTTTATTATTACTCTATTTATATTTAACGTCCTCCAGTGAAATATCAAAAAATGTTGTGAACAATTTTGGATTGAAATAAAATATGTGTTAAATAACTCTCAATTGATTTACCTCACCTAACTAGTTAAAATTTAACAATATTTTTTACAGTGTATAATGTAAAAGCTTAGCGCAGCATAACAAAATCTGGTAACTATACACTGAGACAAACGTATTCCACCGACTGGCCTCATTAAATAAATTTATAGATGAAAGTAAAATAAGTATAATTTATGATTATATTTTTTAATGGATTATAGATAACCGTTAAAACTGTTTCCTCTACAGTATAAAGTACAAAATAAATAAGTTATACGGTACGCACGGTAGGGGAGACTAAGAGGTGACTAGCACCCTCCGGGATTTTTCGTATCACTAACAAAAAAAAACGTACGAAAAATATACAATCTTAATCGCTACCAAATCTTTTAATTTGAGTTTGAGTTTCTTTTAATGTAAAATAGATTTTGTGGCAACTGTTACTAACTATATTCTAAGAACCGGAAATGTTATTTAGGGGAGACAGTGTGGCTTTGTACGGTTCATAGAAAGGGATGTAAAATGTATTATCTATTTATAAGTTTATTCTAAATAGTAAATCATATTTATAATAAAGTTATTTATATACTAGCAAGAGACATGTTATATAATAGATTTATTTATTGATATTAAGTTGTAATTAGTTATGTAGTAGGCGCGTATATAAATTACTTCTAAGGGAGGTTGAATAATTTTTTTAAACTTCTAAAGTACTATTATCAGTATAAAAATTAGCTTATCGTGTTATGAATTTCGAAGGAGTAGGATCACGCATTTCTAGCCTATGGGGTATAGCCTGCATGGTTAAAACTATTATATTAAATTTTTTAGGAAAATTTTCCGTAGTTGCATCCCTGTAATTAATATGGAAACATTTTATTTACCGTGTATTATACTCGTAATCTTGATTACTATGGTAGTCAAGAATATGAGTATCATGTCACATAAAATATCATTAAGTAATTTAATTTCAATACATATTGTAAATTAAACTTTGATTTTGATATATTTGAGTGATGAATAATTGAAAAAGTATACACAAAGGGAAAATACCTCAGATAAGTCAATTATATTCTACAGTTTATTGCTTTAATTTTTGCATCGCAGCTGTGAATAGTACATTTATATTTAATTAACTTATAAAGGAACATTGACATATAATTATAAACCATGAATAATATAATTACGATTCCCAAATATTACTGGTAAAATCAAAATGCCCACTTTTCCTTTTAAAAATTTCAATAATTTATAGCCTTTAATTATTGTAATTATAAACGTCACATCATACAACAGAATTTCTCTGATAAAAAAAAGGGATGAATTTGTAATTTTAAAAATAATTATAAATACTCAAAAAGTTTTCTCGTTAGATTGATTTTTAAGTTTTTTGAGTTAAAGAAGTAAAATCTAAAAAAATATTTTAAAGGCAAATACATAATAATATTTGGCGAAAATAAAGGGTACTATACATTTATCATAAATAGTTATCTTAACGGCCCTTTGGGATACTTAACCTTACACTTAGCTTACCCTTAGGGTTCATTGTTATCATAAATTACATATATTTTTATTTGTTTATATAAATATATATTAAAGAAAAAAATCATAAAACTTTTTTTTGTGTACAGATGATAAACAAGGTACTCTGGCAGTTTTTAAATCTAATTATCTATAAAAAAAAGTATAGGTAATGGTGTTATTTTAAAAACAATTGTTAAAAAATAGACTGTTTTAACTAAATAAACTTGATTTATTTACTATATAAACTTTAAAATACAATATTCTTATTTGTATGCTAATTTGAACAACAGTAACTAAGTTTACGCAAC